GAATCTACAACTCAGAGAGATGTATACCCCTTGTATACCAAACGAACAGCGTTGAAAAGGAAGTAGATAAAGACACACGGTACCGACGTTGTGTAATGAGAACGGGTCCGCGTGTTAATTAGGTGATTAACTAGCATACCGCCTGGTAAAACGAAAAAATCCACAACTTGATACAGTGTTCTTTAAGTACTGCTTGTGCTTGTTTTGCGAGACTGGCGGTTGCCTTCTTTTTTTGGGAAAATCGGAGAAACGAAAGTAAAGACACGCTTTAAAGCTCTTTAAGGTGTTATTGAAAAAAATACGCGTTGTATCCCTGTTGTATGGCGTTGTTCTTTTTTTGATACAGGGGAACCTCCGGTTGCGACCACATCTTATAAAATAACAACTCTCCTCAGCGACCAGTTTTCCAAAATACGAAAAGTTTCCACCTCAAATCACTATATTTCGAACCTCTTCACGGCCTCTTGTAAGCGATTGTCTCTCTTAAGCGACCGCGACCACTCTTAGAGCTAAAAGTTTTAAAACTTCTTTTGTTTTTTCACTTCCCGTAAGCGACCAACTGACGGCTAACAGAGCGGAGATTGGATAATCAGGTGTTGTAATATTATCACATTTTAAGGTAGTACAAGAGGCAGAAATTTCTCAATAATGAGAAGTACTGGATTTTTTCTCGAAATTGACTTTAATTTTCTCATGAATAAAGTATTTACAATTTTAAATAAAAAATGCACATACATTGTACCCTATGTCTTATAATTACAGAACAATTACAGAATATTAAAACAGATTATCCTATCTATTTTACTATATTTCTTTTTCCGTTTTTTTTTTTTTTTTTTTTAATTTTCTTCTTAATCTGCAGTCCAAATTTTATACTATTCTATGACACAGCGTTGTTGACTTCTTGTTTGTCTTGTTTATTCGACCCGTGAGGACCAGGGGTTACAAACATAAATTGTTGACTACAGTGGAACGTCCATATAACGAAGGGCCAAGGGACTGGCAAAATGTGTTCGCTATAATGAGGTTTCGTTGTATCGAGGTTCTTTTCCATATGTTTTACTATTACTCAGGGTCCCAAAGTGGGGAGGGGGAGGGGGGGTCCCTGGAGCCCTGGAGCCCGGAATAGGGAACCCAGGAGCCCTGGAAGTTTTGTTGTGGAACCCTGAGCCCAAAGTAATAAAATTCACTCATTTTTTAGTGCTCAGTCCTTTTTGCTTTTGTTTGCCGACCGTTAATCGAGTGTGTAACGTAATTATCGCATCGCGAATGTATTTCTTTGTTTCCTGAAGTCTAGTTGTCCTTTGTCTTTTTCTCACCACGTACATCAGTTCTTGTCTTTTTCGCAGTAGTGGTGCATGTCTCACCGATGGTGATTGGGAAAAGATTTTTCTTTGGGTGTTTTTGCACTACAATCGGATTTGAATACGCTCCTATGCTCTTTTGTCTATGATTCAATAATTTGTACAGAATTGCACGTACAGGTATTTGAAATGAAAATAGTGTACAATTCTAATTTATCACCGAAATTCACGTTATTTATTTTCTGAAAATCGAATATAACTTTTGATCGTGAGAGACAAAAAATTCATAGCAGTTTTTGCTGGCACTGAATTCTGCAATCTGATTGGTTCCGGCAGCAGGTGGTCGATCTTTAATTCGATATATATGCAGTACAGCGGTCAACAAATTCTTGATGTAACGCAGCCTTTTGAGTGCCAATATGACGTACTCAGTACGTCATGATCTCTTCCCCACAGGTGACCATATGACGTATTGACTACGTCAAAACCCTAGAGATTTAGTCAAACTTCCGGCATACTGGAAGCAACTTTAATCAACACCGGAGATTTTTTAGAGGTTTTTATCGGGTACTGCTAATTTTCTCATGGCTGTGACGTCATATGCATATCAAATTACGCTAACCTCGGCGAGATTAACCGCATTGACGAGACATTTTTATGACCTTTCAGCAAACGTACACATGTATATTGACAACTTTACTATTTTAAATTGCATTCTCGTGTATTACTAATAGTTGGATGCAAAAATACAGCAGGAAGAAAAACAACAATAATAACCTTAAATAGAGAAAAAACGTTTTACCATCTTCGTAATAGTACGGAGGGCACGACAAAAAAAGATTTCACAAGAAACAGAAGAGTCCACCTATCAAATGAATTATCTAAAAATTCCTTTTATGCAGTGTTCTTACGTACTCTTACTGAGAAATATATTTTGATCCTACCTCTCAAAATGTACCTGCTAACAAGCTCCGGCTCTTTAATCACTTCTTTTATGAAACAGTATGATTAGTATCAAACCAATGGTTTACAAAATGAAAACTCATAAACTTGATTTATTCGATCAAAAACTGAACACGTAGCAATATGTACCTATTGCGTACGTTTTGTTTATGAAGAATATAAAAGCAGAAACGGACACAACGAAGAATTATTTTTTTAAGGTGCACCGGGACGTGTTTTTATGTGGCATATTTTCGTAATACCGTAAATACGTAAAACTAATTGATGGTGTAAATTAAAGATAAGCATATGGTAAAATAAAATAATAACATAACATAATAAAAGGAAACAATTAATATGTTTCTTCGCGGATTTTCAGACCATCGGGATCAATTGTTGTGCCTTTTTGAATTAAAAAAGCTTCCCTGGCCTTGCGGATAGAGTCTCGGTTGGAAAAGATTTTTTCGACGGGGGTTAATTGCATGTCGTTAGCAGTGTGATTGGGAGAGGACAGGAAATGTTCTGCGGCTGTAGTAGGTTTAGATTTGGTGTTAGGGTTATCTAGTTATTCTTGGGTGCAACCAACAGTAGCTAACAGTATTTTACGTCAGAAAAGTCAAATTCTGTAATCTACGTCAGACCAAGTTGGTGCACAACCATCAGGCCCTTAAAAGGGTTTGGCGATGCTCACATCACGTTCTGCTACTCGGGGAGGTTCGGGGGAGAAGTCTAAAATCGCAATAATTTGAATGGGACGCGTACGCTTCTGTTAACACATAGAGCCTTGTTCTGTTGCTCATAAGTTGTATTCCTTTAGCCATCTGAAAAGCACTCTTGAAACAATCTTAATTTTACATACTTACTAAAATAAACGTTTCGAAACTTAATTAGTATTTTTCAAGACTGTTCATTAAAATTTTCAAACGTTTAGCAATAACCACCAGAGGAAGGACAGTTGTCAAACGCTTCAAGCTATCGATATTCCATTGTTTTGTTCAAATAAATTGAGATGAAGGTATATAACTCATTCGTCAGTCTTCATACTCACGGCGTGTAGCGGCTTGCAATCGAGTCTAATCAGTCTCAAGACGAATGATAATAATTAGTAATAGTAATTAGATCGCGAGTGTAGTACAATTCAGAGAGTAATCACGCGATTAATAATGGTAATAGGACTGAGTGGAGTCCAATTCGGTCTGTAATCGTACGAGTGATTAACAAAATCGGACGACCGCGAAGCGGGAGTCCGATTTGTTAATCACGAGTATGATTACAGACTGAATTGGACGACACGATGTCCTTTTACCAATTAATCATAACAATTGCAATTTCCCACAAAAGTAAAAGTTTCATTTGATAGAGAGCTTTTCATTGTCATTTTAAATATCATAATTATAAAAAAGGAGAACAGCTCGCAAAATGGCTGTCAAGTCTCTTTCAAAACAGTCACCAGAGACTAAACCTCCACAATTTTACAAAGACAGTCTCAGTCAGTGGTTACTATAGTGATTGTAATCAATGTTGTGATTGGTGGATTTAGTGGAGAGGACTTAAAATGATTGGTTCATGTAACTGTCCGATTACAGGTGTCCGATTACAGCCAACAGTCCGATTACACTGTCCGATTACAACTTTGCAGATTAATTAGAGCAAAATACAGCAGTTTATGCACCAATCACATTTGAGGAAATTGTTATTATTATGATTAATTTCAAAATAGGACGAGTGCGAAGCGCGAGGCCGATTTGAAAGTGCGAGCACGATTTCTCCCTAAACTGTACGACACGAGGTCCAGTTACCAATTGATCGTATCTATAGCAAATTTCGGAATTAAAAATGTCTTTTGAGATCTTCATTTGAGCGAAAAACGTTTGCAGCGTTTTTCATATAAGTTCTAAAAACTGTAGGAAACATTGAGAAGGAAGACATTAAAGCGAGTGTAATTGACGTGCGAATGGCGTAGGTATCCAATTACAGGTATCCAATTAAAAAAAGTTCAAACTGGATACGTGTAAATGGACACTCACATGATGACGCGCCGATTTACGTAACAAACAACCGCCCGGAGAACCAATCGCGAACGAGAATTTTGTTATAGATACGATTATAGGCAAGTTTCTTTCTCCCCAATGCATCCTGCATCATTCAAAACATTTTTCCCTGCTGTACTGAATTGTGTTCGAAAGTTCACTTGACTTCTAAATAGAACGTTACCTGTTAACTTGATTATGAGATTGCAGACAATTCGTCTTTTAGCGTAGGGAGTAAAAATGAGGCTTTGAGTGGCAGGCTCTCGGCGCTTTTCGATAATACGAGGGAAACTCAACCATGCCTCAATTAAAAAATAGAAACTCTGCATGTGCTTTTTGAGTCTGAGTTTTATCATTGACGTATATATTTCAAATAATTGGCTGCATGTTCGTGAAAAGCAGCTTTAGTGATATGATTTTTATTCTTATAATACTATATAAAGTATTAGTTAGTTTAGTTAGGCAGACTTAGATATTATTAATACTTTGAAGTTGTGTGGAAGGAATTTTTACCGTGTATAAATAAAGTTACAACTCAAGCTCTCTTCCTATCGATCGGGCTCAAGAAGGACAATGCATATGGATTTCCAGAACTTTACCAAACTGCATGTCGTATGACTGAACAAATTTTCACCAGTTTTTAAAGAAATGATAGAAGAAAAGAGGTTTATAATTGCACAGCGGCTCAAAGTCATTGTCTTAACAGACGTGCTTGTTTAGAAGAACACACAAAGCGGAAAAACTTAAAACAAAAGATAACCTTTTTTCCGCGTTGCTTTAACTGCGTATTTGAATGAAAATTGAACAAGCCGATTTAATTGTCCTTCAGATCACAGGCACTGAGACCAATATTTCGCTGAAGCGATGAGATCCTTTCTTCTCGTAGTTTGCTGCATTTTGGCTTTAAGCTGCAGTAATTTATCGGCTCTGGGAAAACAAGTAAGCGATGAAGGTAAGTGCTATAAGGATTTATTCAATCTGTGTTTATAGTTTCTGATAGATTAAGCCAGAGGACAGTGCTATAAGTAGATAATGTCGCAGTTCTCTGTCACCTCTATGATAAGTTACGTGCTGACTGAGCAGTTAGTTAGTTAACAAGCAATAAGTTGAAATTAGCAAAAAGTATTTCAGCTTACTAACGGGTAAAGAAACCCGCTCTTTGAATGTGAAATTGTTTAAAAGTTTTCAAAGAGTGAAAATGGTTCCTTGATCAACCGGGCGACTACCTGTAACATTAAGTACAGTTAATAATCGTTGTAGAACTCATTTTAATATTGTTCAAATCTGGCTATTAAATGCCCAAAACAGAGCTGCAAGTTTCAAATGCATTTGTAGCGGTATTGTGATGGGAATCAACAGAGCAAAATAATTTATGCATTTCCTCTCCGCATTTGAAAGGCACGCAGGTGAGCAAACCTTACAATTTCACATCTGAGTTTCTCGTAAACAATGGGTCCGTTACGCCTTTCCAACGTTACTGAATCGAAATGTATTTTGAATCTACTCAGAAAATTACTTTTTGGAAGAACTGTTGGAACCACCGCCTCTGAAAAAAGGGCACAGGAAGCGTTAACTGTTGGCATTTCTAGTTTTGAGATAGTTGAACAGTTTGTTTTACAAGTTAGCTTAACTGTATCAAGATGATGCAATGTGCAAGATATATTATTAAAACAAGGGTTTTAAACTGCCAGAGAACAGCGAACAACAGTTTAACATTTAACGAATTGACGTCAGTTCTCTCATGCGTATGTCCTGTTATTGATCATGAATTTAGTCATAATATTGTCAAAGTAGCTGTGGATCCACGAGGCGATAGCCGAGTGGATCCGCAAATATTATAAATTCATATGTCTTCGTGTCCGCTTAGTGACAGTGAAACTCTGAACGATTTTTGATCCGACATTTCTTTTCTTTTCGAACCAGTTGTAATTACTTGATATGACACTCTCGCCGTTAGCTTTTGTTTTTACAATGTTCTA